TAAGACGTGGCTACATCGAGCTGACTGGAGCAGAAGGCCAGAGGAGACGCAGCCACAACTTCTTGCCTCTCTCAAACGCCAGGGAAGACGCAGTGAGTGTTCCACCCTACTTGCTTATTTTTGATCCTTTACTTTACAGAAATGTTTATGGCATGAAGTACTGTATAAGAAATGTGCATACACAAATACATGACAATTATACGTTAAGTTCTTTACAATATTAAATGTATAATATACAATTCTACAGATATCTTACATACAAAGGTGAATGCTGTGCCATATATTCAAATATGGCCATCCCTAGCAACTTTAGAGTGTCATACAAGTATAAAACCACAAAATAAAATAACTTTACAACTCTTTTGAAGTAGACAGATTTGCTCAACTGTTCTGCTAAATTAGCAGGCCAAGAGGCTAAAATTTTCATGAGCGATTTGTAATTTGGGTATCCAAGATGAGCAGACCTGTGGAGGTCTGACTTTCCATGGCAGGTATCCAGCGCTTTTCCAAAAATTAGACCTCTGCGTAGACTGTACGTTGGATAGTCAGGACAGCTCATCACTTTTGACAGTACTAATCTTAAACTTGAATTTTTATTTTTGCCTGATTGTAATGATTTGGTATTTAAGAATTGCTGACCATTTAATACTCGGTCCCTTGTTCTCTATGGCCATATTTAAGCATCTAAGAAGAGTTTAGTTAAAATTCAGCATCTACAATGGTATTCTATAAATTAATGTGGGAGAAACTAAACTGTGATTAACACTATGAATTAGTTATCGAGGACCCAATCATGCTAAACAGCAATAAACAGGATTTAGCAGAATGCTATTTATAACCTTGCACCTGCAAACGTGGTGCTGTCTCCTGAGTTAGGAAGCCCTGCAAGTCAGAAGAGTCAATACTGATTCATGAAAGGAACAGTAACCTCCTGCAGACATTAGGCTTCTTTAAAGAGAAAATTACACAGGTAGAGGGCAGCTACAGAATCAGTATTTTAATACTAGTTTAAAATAACAGAGGAAAAACAATCCAAACAAAAACGTGGCCTGCTTTCATCAGACAATGGAAGGGAGGCGGTTTTAACAGCTTTCTATAAATTTCCAGACCCATAAAGAGTAGCGTTGTCCAAAATCCTTAACATCTCCTCCTAAACGTGGGCTTATAACATGGTTAGCAAGTGAACAACAAGGGGTAACAGAGCTTGCTTGGCAGAACCACGCTGCTTAGATGATGCAGAACTTACAACTTCTGAGTCAAAACGAGACTGGCTTTAAGAGAACTACGGCTCCGTGTTAGGTATGTGGCCCTTGGATGACGGTAGATGGAGTTTTATTTTGTGCTTCCAGATCCCTACTTTTGCAAGTACTGGCCGTAACTGGCCTTGTCAAATTTTTGTTGCTTTTTTTGTTTGTTTGTTTTTTAAAGTACTGAGCACCAGTTGACTATAAATCGGTCCTTTTCTGATTCTGGATTCTGTCCACAGAGAATATTTCAGTTGGAAATGCTGTATAAAAATAAGCCATTTGCTAGCATGAATGAGTACAATCACAGAAGTGTAATGCAACGTATGGAGGTGTAAAGCACATTTGACATGAAAGGTGTGCAGGCAGGGAAGATACTCGGTGCAGTTTTTAGCGTCTCCTCTTCCTTTGGGTGGCCCCCGCTTCCCTGTGGTCAGCAGCGGTTGTGGGGGCGGGCTGTCGCTGGAAAGGCTGTCAGAATCGGTTCTCTTCCTGCCAAATTCAAATTGCTTTAATTGGTCTTTCTGCAGAAATCCTGGCTCGGGTCAGGATCTCATTGAAGCTTTGCCTTTGCCACCACCACAGCTGTTGAGCTGCAAGTATGTTCCCAAAAGCCTGGTGCGCTGAGCATGCTCAGTGATTTCATCGTGAAAAACGGACAACTGGTTTTTCGAATGCATTTCATGGCTGGCTATGTGACAGGTAGTTTCAGAATACCACTAACTGGCAACATAAAGTCAAAATCTGTTTGCTAATACTGTTTTGCAAATCCTTAGTGTTTCACATAAGGGACCATTAAACACTTCTACGGTTACAAAGGAGCAAGGGCGGGTTCTAGTCCAGGGGCTCCTGTTTTATTCTGATCGTTGGAGTAGGTTGTGGTCGTCTGTCCTCGCGACACAGCACGTATTCGCTGAACTGAGAGGAATCCACCCCACCACCACATGAAGCTGCCACGTTAAATCCCTTCTGAAATAATCTTTCAAGCACCTGCAATGTAGAAAAAAAAATCAGATTAATATTTAGCAGATTCTAGTGATAAAAGCAACGGATTCTAAATGATGGATTTGGTCTTCTGAGTCCTCACAGAATGAACATTATTCAGCTATAATTCTATAACTTGTTCTTAAATGACTACACTGTGATTAAAGTCTCGCTCTCAGCAAACCTCTGTAGAAAACAAAAATTAATCAAACAAATAAGCACTCTACAGAGCAGCTTAGTACATTATATAGTAAAATACTGGACTGCAGTGATATTGATGCCATCTCTTACTGGAACGCAACACTAGGTTTAAGTCATAATAAAAAGTGCCCGTTATTCGTTATTAACATGAGCAGAAAGGGGCTGAAAACATTTCTGAGCTGTTCCTTAGCAGATGTAAATATATTAGGAATCTGAGTGACACTTCCACCAGGTCTTCATGAAAATCGCAACTATGATTCTTCCTTGCTGTAAAGGTGTGCTGCTTTTAGCAAAGCATGGCAGGCATCAGGCGTGGAACCAAGACGGGGCAATAAGCAAAGGAACTGGCACAGGGAAGCGGTTAATGTGCATTGCCCAAATATATTTTCTCTTCCTCCTTCTAAAGAAAAGTTGGTGCAAATAGATGCATGACTTTAAGGAGCCCAGAGGCAACTTTAATTTCTGAGACTGTCACACAGCACATTACCCAAGGATACACTGATCTCGGCAGTACGACAGGGGCCGTGCTTTCACACGGGTGAGCGTGTTGACACAGTTTCCCCAGCAGTAGTAGGAAGCATGCAGACTTCGCTCAGCGTTAGGTGTGAGCAGATGTCAGTTCCACCTTCAGCAGAAAGCAAATATGGAATTTAAGGCCCATTTGAAGGAGATGCCACACTTGCTTCCTCCAGCTAGGGACTCTGGTCAAAGTCCAGGGCAGGAGCACTGGGTCTACTGGGACATGTGTGACATTGAGGCACCTTCTTATACGCCCTTGGGAGCTCAGGTGAGTCCTGTGCATTACCAGTGAGTGGGGAGGAGATGTGGCAAGGCTCTGTGGTCTGTTATACGCCATGGCTGCATAGTGGGGTAAACTGGTTATGTATGGCGGTGCTTTCCCAGCCGTACATTTTCAGACTGGCTGAACAACAGCAATCTTCACACCCACATATGAAATCCGCATCCAATACTCCTCCAGCCAGACCTCCTCCAGAGGCCCCTGTACTGTAGCACTGAGCTAATCCACAGATCAACGCTAATAATGCTGCAGCAGGTTACTGCAAAATCAGACCGGTGCCTCTAATTTGTATGATTAAATAAACTGACCCGATAGTTATGCTGCAGGCAAGAAAATGGTCCCTGCATTGTTCTCTACTGATAAATGTCAACAAGAGTAGGTAACAGTCTCGCTGCGGTACCATTTCCATTGCTACATCACAGGGGCCCCACTACACTGGACAGTGAACCTGATGACATATAGAGCTTGATGAATTTAGTATCACTGATATCCTCTCAGGATAGAGTCATCTGCAGTCCACGACAATAGGGACTAAGCTATTTAAAAACTTGTTCGCTCAACTTAGATATGTGTCTAAGCAATATACCCAACTTCAGAAGGTGAAAACTCATCCATTCTTCCTCAGGGGTTTATGTTAAAGAAAGAATTTGATTTCTTTTTTGGTTTTACCACGAATGATACTGTTAAGCACTTTAGTAGTTACACCTACTGCAGCAGTACTTAAAAATCTTATGCTTCAAGGCACAAGCTGATTGCCAGAGGGGGACTAAAAATAGTGCCACATGTTAAAGATTTGCGCACCAGACCTCTGCCCTGGCCCCTGCATGTGCAGACTGACGTTAATGCCAGGGTGCATTTTTCTAGGGCGCTGTTTCTTTTGACTGAACGTTGGCTTTGCTTCTTCCGAGACCAGCAGTTTGGGGCCTTTACTAAAGGTAGCAGATGGATTTGAAAAGGAAAATTGTATCCAAGGTAGTAGTGTGGTGCAATGTAATCCACAGTAACATTTTCTATTTTTAATCTGTGGGAACCTTCCTTTGAAGTCTGGTGTGGTAGCCATCTCCATTTCAATCAGTGGTTCGGGTTTCCAGTGGTAACTAAGAACTTGTACTTGCTACCCTGGCTCCTAAGGACCGGCAAAGAAAAGGAAACGCTCTCGCGCAGCTTTGCCGCCGAATCTGCTCTGAATCAGCCTGCCCTCGAAGCTCTGCCTGGCCTTGGGACAGAGCGACTTATGTTCTCGTAAAGTTACAGCTGCCAAATCTCACTGACTTTTGCCCTGATGTTTGCATAGTTTATACTGTAAGAAGGTTGTAGAACTGAAAGGGAAAAAACCCACCCCAGCGTACGGAAAGAAAATAAACCTGGAGAGATTAAAAGAAGGAGGGGGAGTGTGTTATCAAAATACATTTAAAAAAAGGAGAAAAGCTTAAAGCTCTGTTGTTTGTCTGGGCTAGATGCAGCCGTCAGGCCAGCGATGGGGTGACAGGCACAGGCCATAGTACTGTTTTACTAACGCCTGTTCCTACTCAGAGAGGAGGGCAGGAGTTTGATCGGGAAGGTGGAGTTAGACACCAGCAAACTGCTGTTTCACAGGCTCCAACGTGTTTATTTTGTTGCGTCTCCCTGTTCTCAGACTCAGGCAAGAGGAAGATCCAGCCATGGCAAAGGAGGCTCCTTCCATCTAACTGGACAGAGAAACACAGGATTGACAGGTAAAAAATCTCAGAGAGAGACAGGACTTCAAAACCTGGCTAAAAACTTTTTAAAATCAATTTGCTTGTAAGAAAAAACAAGCACTGGGGTGCCCTTGGCTTGCCTCAGTCCAAAGCTATGGAAGGCTGCATGTTAACATAGGACTTTCCTTTACTGAGCCAGCTCTCTGAAAGCACACGATGCAGGCAGACGTTACAGCCTCAGAGCGCTGCGCTCAGAACAAAGCGATTCATTTTTCCTGCCTCTGTGCTCGAAGGGCTACGCTGCAGGCTATAATCTAGTGTTCAAAACCTAGTAGGTATCATCAATTTTCTGAGCAAGAAGCAAAACGGGTCAAATCCTGTAAACAAGGCTGCGATGTTTAAATATTGTACAGTTTTAAGCATAACTTGAATGAGGTTGCGCCCAGTTGTAAGGAGGAAGCCTCCTAAAGGCTGCCTCCATGTACCCTAAGCGTTTGTACTCTTACTGCCCATGCGTGCATGACACTAAATGGCATGCAGAACAAGAACAGATTTAAATTCCATGTAGTGAATTTGGCCCTATATGCATTACTTTTTCAAAGGTAACATACAGATACATAGAGACACTTACTAAGTGTCTCCATGCATAAAATCAGAGCTACTTTTCAGTAAAGCTCCAAAGAGAATATGCCAAAAAGTAAATGAATCTCAGCTGTGATTCTCCTATGTCTAAGGAGACACACACGCATCCACTAGTAAATAGTGGATTTGTGCTAAGCTTTAATATACTCTGTCTTCCAGTATTCTAAGCACATGAAGATACGGACTCTGATTTTGTTGGAAGGTTTTCCAAATAGAAACATGATACTTTCATTTAATGCATTTCATTTAAATTTTGCAGAATATTAACAAATATAGTCTTAATTATGAAGAATATTCGACATAAACAAATGTCACAGAATTTTCTCCAGGTATGTTCATGTATCTCACTAGACCCTGTTGTGAGGAGTTGAAAAAACAGTTTGAGTCTTAAGAAAACTCTATACCTATATGAAAGTACAAATGGGCATTGACTGAGGGCTGCTATTTTTTCTGGCTGCCACTACGCACTGTAAGTTGGCGGGCTTTGTTTTACATGTACAATTCCTGACACAAAGCATTTCATGACAATTTTTAAGAGACTCAACAAGTTTATAAATTCTGCAGTTGTGCTACCAAATACGCTAAGCAGAGCACCAAGTGAAGTATTTCAGTAAAAAGCAAGCAGTCTCTTCAAGTCACTTTCTGAACTTCTTTAGAAATGACTCTACTCTCCCAATCGCTAGCCCTTCTGATCTGTCTCCCTTACGTCTTTGCATTAACAACAGCCTGTTTCCAACTTCTGGCTTACTATGGTTTTGCCAAAGAATATCGGGAAAGGGAAGTGCAATGCCAAAGTACTGACCAGAGTCCATCAGAGCCCAATGATAATTAGCTGCTGATTTCTTCAGGCTTTGGTCTCAGAAATATGTCGTTTTCCAGTAATTTACTAAAATTATTTAGACTATAGACTACTTTGGCATAAAAATTTTCTTTTCACAACATGAGCCAATACAAAGAAGCTCTTTGTTACTAGTTGAATTTTGACTGAATTCTGATTGGACTCGAGATATACTTGAATATTAAAAAAGCTAGTATTCAGCCTTTACTACAAGCATACATTTCGTACTAATACACCATTTTGGAGTAAAATACAGCTAAGTGCTAAGCCGCTTGGGCATCCAGCGCTTTGAACACCAGCCTGCAGTCCTGACCTGGCAGTGTCTAGCATTGGCCCTTCATTGTTTCGGTTATTCTAATTTCTTGAATGCATCTCAACATATCTCATGGACAGTGTTGCTGAAACATGAACGCACTCTTCTGCCCACTTACCTTAGCTAAACTGCAGCTGCTCCCATCTCCCGTACAATGGTGAATTCATCACTGTTCCCACTCGCAGCAAGTGGGTCTGCCTCTGACCCACCTCCAGCCTTCTATTTTTGGGGCAGCCCTCTCTAAACCTTGCCAAATGTGAAATTGCTAAGGACTGTGCAAAATTAACCACAGGCAATGGACTGGTACGTTAACCAAATAAAATACTTGGGAGTCCTGAACCTTGAACCAAAAATTCACCCCAAATAGCTGTTTTTAGACTCATTTCAAGCAAAAGCTATTACAGTGGGTGAGTGAATGCTGTCCCAAGGAAGAAGCTGCCAGTGTCAAATGTGGGTAGTCAGAACTGCTCATCCACCTTTGCCTAGCCCGGTAGCAGGAGGGCTGCTGAAAACGTTCTCAGCTGGCAGCTTGAGAGATAGAGGGAGACTCAGCTCAGTTGTAAAGCAGACAGAGAAAAGAGGCATGGTAAGCAAGTCCACACTCCCCTAGTATTATGCCTCCCTCCTGAACCTGTCTGGCCAGGCTGTCTCATGGGCCAGCTTTTTTGTGGATGTTTACCCACAGGGAAGTTCACCAAGACCACTCAGTCATTTCCCATAGCCCAGTTAGCACCTCTGTAAGTGACAGTAGCTTTGGAGATATTCCCCTATGGATCAGAAGGTCTCACCTTCCATAATACATGTATTCTTTGTAACATATTTGAAAGGCGTACACGCAAAAACCAAGAGCTCTGTGTTTTGCCCTTGTTAATTACAGCACAAGTTAACAGCATCATCAACCCAGTCCTTTCTGCTCAGCTCAAGGAGAGCTACAGCGGCAAAGCTTTGGCCACAGTGGTTGTGATCCCTTGTGAAATGCCATTTCTTGCCCATGAGGCTGACTAAACACAAGTTATGTATTTATTTCCACATCCATCCACCTATCTGTCCAGTTATCTTCCTTTGTTTCATATGTTTAATTTTAAACTTAATGTCAAAACTCTGAGAATAAAATGAAATACATTTTGTTTAAAATACTCTGGGCAATTTTTATAGAACATCCTTTTGAAAAAAAAAAGTGCAGAGATCAATTTTTTTAAGTCCATCCCGCAGGCACCATCATTTAATTATGAGTGAGACATAAATTATGCATTTACACATTGTTGCATTTTCTATAAAATGGTGTGGAGATTTTTTTTGTAGTTTTTGGAACTCTCTCTGTCTTCCTAGGGGCACTTTGGAGGAAAAAAAAACTGCTGCAGGCTATACATTGATGAAAAAATTAGCATTTATCAGTATAACACCATTATGAGACCAGCATGGCACTAACATACACAAAATCTAAATCTATTTTTCTGCTTAGACTTAGGAAAACCTGAAAGACTGTGATCTCACCAGGCAGAAAATGTCTCCTTGCAGTGTAAGAACTGAAGGTAATTGGGCAGAAGCAAATAATTTGCATATAACTGAACACAAACTAGCAAAAAAAAAAATCCCAGCATCTACATGAGAGAGCATCGAAAGGCCATTACCTGCACTGAATTCAACCGGCAGTATCCATTCAAAGGAAACCTAATAACATGGGTAGGGTCTTGGTTCCAACCTGCGTTTACAGAGTTGCACATGACATCCCCGGTCTCAGGGAAGATCTCCTCTATTAAAGCTTTCTCCCCGCTCAATGCAATTCTTTCCCCCAGATCTGGAGTCACTCTTACGACCAAGCAGTCACAAGGCTGGAAATGTTTCCTTTGTTCTTTCTCTTGTTTCCATCGCTCAAGTTCCTTAATCATTGGCTGCAGCTGGTAATACTTTGCTTCTTCATATAAACGATTAAAGTCCTGGAAAAAAAAAAAAGAGAGAGAGAGAGAGAGAGAGAGAAACTAGAAATGCTTATAGTTGTCTTTTAAAAATGAGCGCTGTGCCTGTTTGACCTACTTAGGCTTATGTATTGTCAGCAAGAGTGCAAAGGCAACAGGTATCCACATACTTTGTCTTCGTCTTACACCTACACATCAAACCACACTCTGCTAGTGTTGAATTTATTTGAGCACGGTTTTGGGAACCCTGAAGTTCCCATTGCACTGAATTACTCTTTCATTTATTATCCCACAAGCTCAATGCCAGAAGGCTTTACTTTTGGATTAAGAAATCAAAATAACTGGTTGCAATAAGCAAAGCCTGCTGATAGAAGAGAAGATGTCCTGAGCCTGAATCCTCACTCTTGGCATAGATCTAACAACAGAAGATCGTGGTCTTCGTTGTCACTTCTCCCGTTCATGTTGTGAGACAGAGGTGCCTATCCAGCTTCTCGCTTCCCCCCGCCTTTGCTGAGTTTGAAATTCAACTGCAGAAGCTCAGCTGCAAACCTCCCCTGAGTTTTCATGATTGTTCTTTGTTTAAACATATTTTGGAGTCTGGTAAATTTGACTAATGCAATGACCATACCAGTGGTTGGGAGCTCAGCTGTGTACTCCAAAAACTTCTAAGAAACAGATATTTCCAGACATTTGTCCATAACCTAACTTGGACCTTTGGGCAATTCAAATTCCCAATTTGATTAATTCTCAGTTAATTGATAAAGATGTCTTCTGCACATGCTCATTAATAACTTTTCATCAAATTTCCAATGGATTTTCCCACCTTAGTTTAAACATGTAAGAACACCTTGAGGAAAAGGGTATCATCAACTTCCCAAACCCAAACGAGCAGCAGTGCCCATCAGTGCGTATGCTGCGCCAGAGAAACCAGGGCCCAGGAAACGCACAGGGCTGGTTTGCTTTCACCTGCCCCACTGCCTCCTTCAGGTTCCCGAAGGGAAAAGGAGCAGCAGAAGTAGCACCCCAGCACCTGTCCAGCTCCCAGCACCCTGCAGTTCAATTTCAGGGAAATGAATAATCATGACAGTGAAATTGCTGGAATCATTGAGGCTGGAAAGAAGGGAATGACAAGAAGTAATCAAGAAATGGGCACCAAAACTCACATGAAGGATAAATGCAGTGCCTCTGCTCTAGAACTCGGGGTAAGAGAACACTCTAAGGCCATTGAATATCCAGCACAAGAAAGATGCTACTTTTCACGGCAGCATGGAATTAACCTGTAAAATTTGCTGCTGCAGAATATCAGTGAACCAAAGCAGTTAACTGTGTTCAAATTTGGCACTACAGAGCCACCTCCGGTAGTGGAGAGGTGCTTGTTCACCCCAGGGCTGCCTAAGCCTAGAGATACATGAATATTAACAATGACACTAGCAAGGTTATTGCATTACAAAAGGGACATCTGATCCTCTGTATCTCTTTGATGTCTTCTAGGGTTGGGACAATATGCACACCACTAGGGGAGAAGAAAGGACTGGAGAACATAACAGAGAGAAGAGTGGTAAGTGAAGTCAAGAAGAAATGAGGGCCATAAACACACCCAGGAGAAGGAAGCCAGAAGATGAAAATCAACAGGAGGATTAAAGAAGAAACACTGGAGGTAGGAACTAGCCAGCCGGAAGAGCCATGGAGACTGGTTGCGTTATCTGGTCCCAGGTAAGAGATCGCTAGCCTCAAGGCCTCAGTCCTTGCCCGCTAGTCCAAGCTGAGGACAGCTGCCCCAATCTGCTCCACAGTGATACATTTCTGAAACAAGCGTGGATGGAGGGTAATTTTTTTTTTTTCAAAAGTCAGCACTCTACTAAACTGTTATTGCTTCTCTCCCTGTACTTGCGAAGTTCCTTGGTTACTGAGCAAGGGATCAGTTTAAACTTAAAGGGATTAGTGACCTAAATTAACCCCCCCCCCTTTCTAAAATCCCCTTCATAAGAGACACTGGAGCAACACGGTCCACCATACATTACAACAGTAACGTTGTAGAGTACACAGAAGCATCCAGTGCTTACTGAAGTCAATGGAAAGTCTCCCACTGTTTCCTGTATGTCCTGAGAACCTAGTTTTGGAATATTTGCATTCATGGTCACTATAAAAGAACATATTATTTGTAAAGGTCGATCAATTGATTATGTGCTAAGAAAACTCAACAATAAAACCTAGAAGAGATGGTGCAGCCATATAAAAATCAGTCCTTCATTTCTGAAAGTGAATGGAGGTATGGCACCCCTAAGACAGGATGCAAAGCCCATTAATTCCATGACAGTTTTTTCAACCAACTTCACTGGGCTTTGGACTAGGCTAACAGTATCCTGAATCACAGCAGTGGAATGGTCTAACACCTCCAGGCCAAAACAAAATTGCCATAAACCAAACAAAATCAGGATCATACCATCTCTTCCTCCCCCACAGCCATTTATTAGCCTACAGCATCAAATCCAACTCTTTAATAACCATCTGGTGTAGCTATCATTTGTCCTAAAGTAAACAAGATAAAGGTTAAACAAGATAAAATTTAAATTCTCATGTCCTTTTTGTGATAAGACAATAACCAGTTTTCAAGTGAAACAGCTCTTCCACAATTGTTTCTGGAAGGATGCAGCACACATTTCAGGCTGCTGTGTGGAAAACAAGAGTTATGGTAAAGTTTCATGTGCTTTACGGCAGTAGGGATGCACCCACACACTGATGCACTCCAGTCATAACGACTGGGATTTAAGCCAACAAGTTTGAGTCAGTTTTTAAAATCAAACTTCACCACCACACACAACACATCTCATCTCCCTTTGATTTTCCTTTCCTGCTTGGGTTCAGCACCGACTATGCTGGAAAATGTTTTGTACCTAGAGAAGGGGATTTATAGCAAAAACATTTAGAAACTTAAATGTGCTTGTATGGATGGGGCAATGTGTACGTGCAGCATTAGGGACGCTGGGCAACTGCCTATTTTCAGACAGTGGCAACACAGGGAATTTGTTGCTCTGTAAGGAACAGATGGGATAGAAAAGGGTCTTCTCCTAGGAGTGGCAAGAGAACATTCGTTGCTGTCCAGCAGTGACAATCTTGGAAACAGAAGCGTTCTGTGAAACTACACTCCCCTGACATGCCCTGACTGCATGTTACCCGGACTATCTCCTGCCACCATGGACCACTCCATGGCCCGGACTTTGGTTTGGCTCCTGTAACTTAAGATCTTACATGTCTGCATTGAGTGACCTGGGCAACTCTGACGGATTTGACAACGTATTTAGGAAGGGACGAGGATTTTTTACAAAACCACTAACAAAGAAAACATGAATGGCTTAAAGCATGGCGGTCTAATTCTCTATAAAACCTGTGCTTGGGCATGATGATCAACTCTCAACGTACTGTTAAATACACTACTTTCTCATGCAGGTTTTATAAACCCTTCTGAGTACTGTGCGTCTGTGACTGGACCGACAGTGATGCCCGACTCTGGATTGTCTATGCTACGCCTGGGATGTCCAGGTAATACTGTCATAGATATTTCCACCCTTGCACAGCAGATATAAAATCCTACCCTGATTTGCAAATGCTTAACACAGACTATCAAGTAGAAAAAAATCGACCCACAAGGGACCCCTGCCAGAGTGGTGTCACAGGAGCTACAAGAAATATTTCCATGCTGCTCACTTTGGTGAGTTACCAAAGGTAGACGCAGACATGAGTCTTCCTAGACCTGTTCAAGGAAGAACACGTGCCTACGTGCCTGTAGGAGGCACGTTTCACCTAAACAGGAGTAGCTACTGGGTGGACCTGCCTGGCACAGTGGCAGCTGTGTGCTGTTTCACTGAAACAGCCTCAGAACAGCCTACTCCAGCTTCTGTCCCAGGGGCACAGGGATACGTGTGTACAGACAAACGGGCCCCCTCTCTCACGGGGAGTCCCACGACCAGTGCAGCTTTGCTGAGCAGCAGGCAGCGTCCCAGAGCAGCTTTTGCACATTATCCAGCACCTCCTTGCTCTGCAGAACTACTGAGGAGTCTCCCGTTTCTCCTACCTTCCCAGCCTCGTAGGGCAGTATCTCGTGGCTACACAGCTCAGAGTCAGGCACTGCGTATGGCAGCTAACATAGCGCTCGTGTTTGAACAGGGAGTGTCCCTCTACTCAGCAGGTGCCTCCTATAGGCACGGTCCCTGCTCACGAGGAGGGCCGCTCCCTGCGAGAGCGAAAGAGGAGATGGCCAGCTCGGCCCCACGCTTTGCTGTGAAGTACCACAAAAGGTCTCCAGTGATGGCCCCTGCTCTCGTATTCTGTTTCACGCTCTCAACAACGATCAGGTATTTAACGAGCGCGCCTGTGCACGCGCATGCCTGCATGCGTGCCAGAGCGAGACGGCAGCCCCAGGTTCCCGAATCCCTCCTCGTTACAGTACGGCTTGCACGCAAAGCCACAACTGTGGCACAAGGCACAAACTCCTTGTACCATCTGTAACGTGAACGAGTGGCAAGTGCTGTCGTATCACCTGGAAAGGGAGCAGACAGACTGCAGGGGTGCACACAGCCTTCTCTCCGTCCTCAGTTTCCGGACAACAGGAGAAAGATCAACAAGTCTTTCAGAGATGCAGCTTTTTGGCTTTGACAAGTCTGCTTGTGATTTAGTAGAAAAGTTTTTTTTCTGGTGGAGTTCATGTCAGCTAAACTTTGCAGTCACCCTAAGTCTGGTTGCCTCTTCCCGGGGAGGAAAGAGGAAGCGCAATTGCAAGACAGGCTGTGCTGCTGTTGGGATGTCCATGCCAGCGGGTCGGTACAGATCTACTAACTACAGGCAAAGGGGAAATGTCTCATGTGAACCTGATGCTGCTCCCTCAGTACTGAAGAGGTTCTTTATTTTTGTACCTAATATTGACTCCTGAATAGGCCAAAATGGCTCCGTCTACCCCTTTTTCACTTGTTATTCTTTGTTTACATGAAACAACAAACTCTCCTCCTGACTAAACATTTCTTCTGTATTTTAGCGCTGTGAAGATCTGCCTCCTGGCTACGAGAGAAAGTTGCTCGCTCCTCCTGTGAGGACCATGCCATTTGTTAAGGTAAGTCTGAGAGTACCCAATATTAGATGCAGCTATATTAATTTTAAAACTGTATTAAGACAGCAGAGCACTGGCCTTGTGGTTCCAGGGCTACAGGTGACCTTTACAATCAATATGAAACTCAGATGTCCTGTGCATTTGTACTCTGCCCCTCCTAAAGATGGAATAATAATATACAAGTTGCCTATGTCTACTTTTGTTTGAAGATCTCTAAGCAGGGAGTGAATCTCAGATAAGTAGCTATGTGGTGCAGTATGGTCCTGATGTTGCTTGAAGATCTGTAATGAAAGTGAAGGGGGCAGATGCTGGTCATAAATGCTGTGGGGAAAACACCTCTGATGGGGGAAATTAAGGTCGAGGATAGGCCTTCCCGCTGCTCGCCATCGCCTTGGCGCAGCACAGACTGGGTGCAAAGGACAGCTGAGCCAAACGGCTCATGGTAATTCCACATCATACTTAATGTGGCTTAAAACCCACAAAACCCAGGAAACCTGTATGAACTATTAGCGTATTGCTCTCAGGAGGGAGACCTGTGAGATACCAAAGACTTTCAAGTTCTGGCTTATTAGTAATTGGAAGAGTAATTAATATTCACTGTAAACACACCAGTCAGACTTGATAATAAAGAATCGCTAGTCTAGGAACACATACCCCATTTTCTCTGCATTTCAGTGTTAACTTAGTCTGAAAACAACACTTAAATAGCAAACACAATAACATTGGTGTGGTACTAACATTCCAAACTTTCCAAAATAACCATCTGAGCAGCAATTCAAGTTGAAAAGCAACTGGGCTAAACCTTGAGGCTAATAAACTGCTGATTAAATTAAGGGGTAAAAAACTAATAAATATTCAAAACACTTGATAATGCTTTGTTTGACATAAAGAACATTTAATGCAAGTCTCACTGGAAAACCTGTCAGGTTTTATACCTTAAATAGCGTTTTGCATTTAGAAACACCAAGTGATTCCATTTGCAGCCTTTGATTATTGTCTTCTGTCACTTTAATCATGCTGGTAAAATTACAAGATTTCTGTGAAGTCAAATCCGTTTACAATGCAGTTTTAATACAGCTTTGCAGCGCATTCTTCTATGCATTTTTATTTAGTTACTCCCTACCTAGCGATACTTTGCTTTGTTCTTGAGCCCTCATTAGCCTGGGGTTTGCTCTAAAGCTCTCTCAGGGAGGAACTAGCTAAAATACAGTTAACCCTCTGCAAAAAGATGGTCTGGAGCAACAGACCGAGTATGGGCACAGAGGCAGGCTCTCTTGCAGCCCTGCCAGCGGCTGCTGTGCAGACCAGTCGCTGGCATCCACTGACCGGCTCACCTCAGGGCTCTTGCGAATCCTGCTGGGTTCGTTTTACAGCACCTCTGAAATCCACCCTCCCGATGCCAGCCTAGGCCACGATCATCTCCAGCTCTGTCGCTAGCGCACCCTCTTCTCACTCCTCCTTGTCTCACCAGATTATCCAAAACATTGCCGCTAAAAGCATCTCCCTGGCATTTTAATATATTATTTCTCTGTTCACCCCCGCCTTTACTTGCTCCTTACAACCCACAGGAATGTCCTGGTCTTTAGCTTCACTCCTACCTGCGCGTTTTCTCCCAGTTCTCCGTAGGTACTTTTTCTCACATCCATCCCTTCTGCTCTGCCTCCCCCCCTCTGCTTCCCGACACCCGGCACGCGGGGTCACCTCCCCAGCCTGCCCGCCATGCTCCAGAAAGACCAGTCCTCAAGGCAGCACTTGGACTGGAGCTTCACCACTGCCTGTGGAAGCCAAAACTTCTCCCTGCCTTGGGATGAGATCTTCCCTCCCAGCCCACGCTGCGTTCTGGGGCAGCTCCTAACAATCCCTTTAATTTTAACTATCAGCTCTGTGATGCCTGGATTAAACATGATTATACTCACCGCTTAGGCAAAAATGGCTGAGAACTGGTTTGCAGGATGAGGATCAGCTGCATGCCAAGGCTGAAGCCACCACAGCAACCACAAATTTGGAATGACTCAGTAATGACTGGCCAAATTACCTTGCCTGCCTAGTGCAACATGAAAAATGAAATCTCACTACACCATGTGGGAACTTTTGTTTCCAGCAACACTCCATGTCTCCTGAGAGGATCCCCATTATCCTTATAACGTATTCACCATGGAGTTAGTTCTTTTGTTTAATCTTGTCATCTACAGTTTGGATACTTTTGTCTTCTAATTTTCATACATAAGCATGAGAATGTTGCAAGTTCTGTAAGCGCAAAGCCAAATAAACAAGTCTAGGAGGAGAGCGTTTAAACGATCAGGATTTGCAAAGCAACCCAATGCCATTATTTCATAGAAAACATGTATCACTCGTTGGAATCTCCTCAGTAAATTCCATTTCCCAAGAATATTCTGATATTCATAAATTGTCTTAAAGATCACTTCTTGAAATGAAAATATCTGCATTGGTTATACCTAACAGAAATCCTCATGGGTTTGTTTCTGGCTGTTTTGTTTTAATATCAACAAGGAAAAGATTTATATAGCTTAATTCCTCTGACTATCAAATGTAAAACATTTCTTTCAGATTCTGAACATTAAACCCTGGTAAGTGCTAGTTGCTGCTGTTGCTTTTTAATTGTTGTTATACCCTGATAAATAAGCTAAAAATGTGAGAAAATACAATTAGTTTAGAAAAACTGATTTAGCCGTAAGCTTCATCGTTTAACTTTTTATGGTATCCATGACAACCATTGGTCCATTTATTAAATAATAGCATCCCTAGTGTAATACACAACTACTAAAAATCCTAACAATAAACAGCAACGTTTAGTTAAGTGTGTTTAGGTCAAGCACACAAACCAACCTCCACCAAAATAAATGACAGAACGGGAAAAAAAAAGATTGCAGACTGTGGCTTTCCTTACCTTAAAGTCATCGGGGAGCAGTAGTTTAGATGTCCTTAGGAAGCTTAATATATATCTGAAAATTTCACCATCTCGATCAATGAAATAATGTTGTTTTAAACTGTCCAAGACAATAGGCTCTGTGCCATTAAACAGACGACTTATTCTGAAAAAGAAAAGAAAAAGAAATGGGTAAGAGAGACAAAATCTTGTTACACCCTTAGGGCTTAAAAACCTCCAACCAATTTGGTTGCATCAATTCAATGTGCATAAGGTAATTCAGTATCTTAATTTGGGGAGAAATACAAACAAGTGTGCAAAGATAAGTGCTTTGGACCCGTGTGTGCGCACACACACACGTGCACACGCGTGTGTACACACACCGATACAGACGGTGTGTGCGTCAGCGGTGAGAGCCCCGCCACTGCTCCTAAAGCAAAACTCTCACTGCCCAGAACGAGGGCTGCAAATTAGGCCTCGACGGCAAAAATGCCTATGAACTTCTCGCCCTGTGGTTGCCGCAGTAATTCTGCTATGACCATGCATCACGAGGTACGTTATACGTCCCTGTGCACCGTACGGAGTTAACAGAGAACTGACTGCACTGTGGCGGTGGGATGGGTTGCTGGACGCTAGCTTTTTCACCAGCTTGGCTGTCTTTTTGATCAAACGCCAGCAAAGCGTTTGCATTTTAGAGGAGAGAATACCTGCACGCTGGGATGAGCTGCCTGGGTCCCTCAGTGCTGGGTAAGCGGGCATCGGAGGCTGGATGCTGCAGCCAACTAGCAACCAATGGTCCGTGCAGGCATCTGCAGCATTACCTGTGGGAGCGCAGGGCTACTGCCAGTAGCCAGGGACCCGCGAGCCAGCGTTCCTGGCAGATAAAAGCAATGGGGCAAATCTTTCATGAGCAAAGAAAAGGAGGAGAGAAATATGAAACCGGGAATCCAGCTGGCTAGGTGTAAACAGGGGTGAAGTACAACATCAGCTACCTCATTTGGGTTTGCTCGTGGGCACTACAGAAAGCAAAGTGGGCAGTCGCCTGGCTGGATTCATCCCTCTCCTCCCTCCTGAACAAGTGGCGTGGTTCAGAGCGCCTTGTCTTCCCATGAGAAATAACCCAGCTGAATATACGTTCTTGAAAGGAAAATCACAGGAGACAGACAGCAACCACCTATTAAGTAATTGAGTCCATCTCTCTGACAGTGCAGCGTCGCTCCCAACTGCTGCGTGTCTCCTGTTTCGAAGTCGAGTTTTAAATAACCCTGCCTACGAGGATGCCGTTATTTCCCAGAGACTACTCCCCAGCCCGCTAGATTTCACTGTCAGGCGGCTTCCCTCGTCCGCAGCCCAGGAGCCCGCTCTGCAAGCAGGGCAGGGCTTTCCCCACCCGGCGAACAGGAGCTCACCGAAGCCTGCGCCGGCCGGCGGGCG